TCAATAATAATATGGTAATATGTTTTACGACTTTATCAGTTTTGCTTTATTTCATTTAATAGAGTGATATTATAATTTTCTTTACTCTACTACACCTGGAAAGTATCATAAGTAAATTGTAGAAATCATCCACTGTTATATTTGCTTGTATTTAGCTCAGTTCACCTACATCTGGCTCTGTACTGGATGCATTTTCACAACCTGCTTTGTCTGCAGTTTTCTAAAGAGTTTTTTTTTTTTACTATATTAGCCAGCTGCTGCCAGTAGCCACTATCTGACTGCATTGGAGGATAAACAACCTAACCTAGCAATCCAAAGCTACATCCATCAGAAATGTTCTGGTTAGCTAATTTAAAAGTCATATATTACTGTTAAAGCAGCCTGCATGGTCTGAACCCTAATGTATTGGCTGCAGTTAACCGATTGTGCCTCTTTTATATTTTGCCAATCTGAGCCACTGGAAAACTAAGCCCTAGCCAACAACATTAAAAAGAAATGCATTTCTCCTTCACACCTCCTCAACTGTAAGTTATTGCCAAGCACATTGGTAGATCAATAAAAAAGCAAGGGTTGCTTAGATGAATGTTAGTAAGATCAGGCCATTTTGTTATGTTTTGCTGCTTGGAGAAATTTTTCAGATGGATGGGAGGATCTGATTCAGGCACGTGCCTTGGCGCACACGTGACATCCTGTCTCTGGCTCAGTTCTCTCTCTGATCCATTCAGCTTGGAAGCCACATGATAAACTCGGCACCTGCACACTTTGTGTGTCTGTGTAATCCAACGTGTCTTATGCGCCCCTGTTAATGTAGGGGCTGCGATTGCACTTGGCATCATGAGTCTGCATGTGATTGTGCTGTGTGCGTTAGTGTGTGTCACACGGGTTCACGAGACGAGCAGAGATCTCATCTGGTCTGATCTGATTTCCTCCCAGCAGGCTGATGTGGGACAGTAGGCCAGATGTTGGAGAGATTACACCGCTCCCCTGTTTGAAGAGGGAAGCGCTGGAAACATCGAGGAAAAATAAACAAACACAGATGTACTCATTCAAATTTTTTTCCGTTCCTTTTTAGGCATGATGGCTTACAGTTGTCTCCATGATTTGTTTCAGTGAAATAAATCATTTCTAGTATAATAATGGCTGGTGGCTACTACAGGGCTGGTCCAGGGTTGTATAGGGCCTTGAGCGGAATTAGATTTGGGGCCCTTTTGCCTGTTAAAGCTCATAGCTACAACTCTTATCATTATCCAAAATGATTTATCAAAAAAAAAAAAAAAAAAATCCCAGAATACCTAAAAGGGTGCACAATAAAACTATTAACTTCAAAAAAGAAACAAAGAATGCAAAAACAGAAATATGTATGGACATTTTTAAGGGTCCACAATGTAAAAATGTTGGCACAAAAGGATTCTGTTTCAGTAAAAAGATCAGGTTGAAGTCATAGGAGACAGAGCTCATGTTTTGCCAGATCCTAGTGCTCCGTTATAGAGCTAAGAAATGTCTTTCTTACATTTCTCAGATTTAAGAACAAAACAAAAAAAAAGAAGCAAATGGGGGGAATATTGGTCAAGCTTTTAAGCGTTTCTGTCGACATAAAGGTGCTCAGAGGCCACGCAGAGGTTGCTGCTTTTCCTCTGAACAGGTAAGTTAAATCTTTGCTAATGCTAACCAAAAGTCTGCTAATGCTAACCAAAAGTCTGCTAATGCTAATCAAAGGTTAGCAATACTGACTTGGAATCTGGCTTGTAAACAGTACATAACTACAGTAAAAGGTGTGAATGCATAATTTACTGGCCAGTAGGAGCTAAATTTGCAGCTATCAACTTTAAATAAATTATCTCTCTCCAAGGCTACGTTCACACTGCAGGCCTTAATGCTCATTTCTGATTTTTTGGGGAAATCTTTTTTTTTTGCATTGACGTGTACATTTCAAAATCTATGCGTTTTAAGGACAGATTATACTTCTGCAACCGCACACATCAAATGTCGCTTGGGTCTGGTCACGAACCAGTATTGCTGGTATGCTTCTGCACCGTCGGTCTGGGATTTCTAGGGACGCACATCAGTTTCCCGCAAAAGCGTAAGGTGGAGCCTATTAGAGAACTCGCCAGAACTTCGGCAGCGCTGGCTGGAGTGTTTATTTTCCAAAACAACAATGGCGCGTCTGCAAGATATTGCGGTGACAGAGATGTATCTAGAGTTGATAGATATCGAACAGGAACAGGTTCTGTTAATGGAGTTGCCGAAAAGACCGATTAACCTTTCGTCGTAGTTGTCCATGGTAGTTGGTCCTCGGTTTTTAAAAATGGCGCACCCCAGCATCGAATCAAGAAGGACTACCACACAGACAGCCTGAAAGGCATAGAAAGGACCAATCATAGCTGCTTTTTGTCAACGCACGTCTGCTTGAAGTCTGTGCGGGTTTTCGACCGTCCGACGCGTAGGCAAGATTTTCTTGAGACAGAGTTGACGGTTGCAGAAGCTATGTGTCAGAATCATAAATTGGCCTTTATATGTGATCTCCTGTGTGAACTGCATTCATACGACGTAAATGTCCAACATGCGCAGTAGAGGACGCAATGACATCAAAAGCAAGAGTGCTCTGTGTTTACGGAAATAAACATGGATGGTAGTGCTGGAGCGCATTTAGCGATCTTTCCCAACCTTAAATACTCAATCTTTACAAGATGGATAAAAAAACAAAGACTACTCTCCGCATTATTGTCCACCATGGTTGTTTTTCTTCCTGCTTCTGTGTAGCAAGACGCAGAAAAGTGACCTTTGTTGAGTATTAATGACGTTCAGGTCGGAGGAATGCGACCTGGCCGTTCAGACACAGGTCGCATTTGAAAAGATCAGATTCGTATTGGATTCAGGACCATATAGCCATGTTGTCTGGGTCACATTGGAAAAAAGTCGGATCTGTGTTGTTCAGAATGCCATGAAAAGATCAGATACAGGTCGCATATGTGCAAAATAATTGGATTTGCTTCAATTCAGGCTCCTGTGTGAACATAGCCTTTATATATCATCACAGCTAACACTGTTTCAATAGAGATTTAGTGAAACGTGTGAAAAGGGGCCAAATTTATCTGGATGACCACAAAAGGAATAACAGATAACAGTTTTCTGCAATGTATTTGGATACAATCTGAGCTCAAACCTGACAAGATAAAATACTGGTCATGTATTGCGTTCACTACTTTAAACACATGATAGCAAAATCCTGCTGTAGCACACATGACATCCTGTCTCTGGCAGAAACTTTGCTCTAACAGGGACAGGACAGCTGGTCAGAGTTGGTGGAAAAATAGATGGATCCAAATACTGTGACACCCTGGAAGAAGATCTGCTGGAGGCATTCAAAAGACCTGAGACATTTCCAGCAGGGTTAACACCCCAAACCTACCATCCCAGCAAAGGATAGAAGGAGGTAATTTAACTGTGGGGCTGTTTTATGGTCTGCTACGGACTGGTGAGTTGAATGAGTTTTGCAAGGATGGTCTAGCTTTTGAGCTTTAATGGTTACAAAGGGATATTGTCGTTTAGACCAGAAGAACAGCTTTATCCTGATGAGTACGACTTGCAATAAAGAGACAAATAATCAAAGACCAATTAGAAGCTGTTTAATGAGACTGTAAGGGTGCATTTGTGGGAGACAGGCTCAGAGTTTAGATAGAGGCTTCCTCTACCTGTATATGGGTTAATCATTTGTTCTCATAAGATTTACACACTTGATTCTGTCTGTTTAATACCCATGTTGCCTCCAAGGACAAAAGAAATATTGCATATTACCAGAACATTATCTCCACGGTAAAGTAGGATGGTGCTGATGTTATACATGTGGAAAAAGTAGGGCGACTTGACAGCAAGTCCAGTCAGTGAAGCTAATGAATGGGTGGTTGATGGCACTACCAGTATGATAACCAAAAACATTAAGACAAAAAAAAGACTGGATAAAGAAGAACAGCATATGGACAATACAGTAACTTAACCAGAGTGCTGACCTCATTGCTAAATAAATCAATGGTGTGACCTTTAGCTAATGCTAAAAAGCTAAAAAGTTTTAAAGGTTTATGTAGGGAAGGCACATGCCATTGTTGTCCAATCTCTAGAAGTGTGCACTCATTTCCTAGAATGCACCTTGAAAAGTAGTGTACATGGATAATCACTAGATGAGCAGATATGTCCTAGAATGATTTGCAACAACATCATGGGATTTGTTTGGGGTTTGAGAGAACAAAGATGGTAGAGGTACCAGGCAAGTAGCCAGAATCCCTTGACAACCAAGGAGTAAGAAATAGTGACAATCTGTCCAAACGCTCAGTTAACTGAATGCACTATAAAGTCCCCACTCTATATAGTCAATGAGGGGTTAAGGAATCGTTATACTCCCCGCAGCAGTGTGCCGCAGTGAGCTTGTTGCAGATATTTTTGATTTATGCCCAATATTGAATCGTGCCACAACGCAAGAGGGACAATCACAAACTAGCAGTGGGTCTAGATACCGCCGGAGTGGTGAGGAAGTAGGGGCAACTTTGTCCGACAACGGAGGGACATGAGGGCGACAAAGAGTGGGGATCCAGGTGGAGAAAGTGCCCAGCATTCTCGCGCACCTCGCTCTTCTAGCTGGTCCAACTTCACGAGTCGTTTTCCACAATGGCGTTCATACGAACAAAACAAGCCGGTAAGGTACCAAACAGGAAATATGCATAGTGTAGAGTGGATGTAGATTTGACTAATCAGATGCCTCCTGTCTGCGGTCACCTACAATGTTTGAGAGGTGCACCAGAGTGTCTGCAGTTAGGGGTGTAGGCACATTTGAATTTACTGCGACACACATGCAGACGACCTGGCTTCTAAGTAGAAACTTTAGGGCGCACATTAGGAAATGGCCAGTGTCTTACTTCAGTGGTTTCTAAAGAGAAAGAAATGCTTCTTTACAACCATTGACATTAGTTTGACCTTTTAAGCAAAAGCAAACAGACCTTCTACTTCATACACATCATTTTATTGTAATAGATCTCTATCATATACATACAGTACAATATAATTAAGACAGATTTATGGCACATCCATTGTACATTTTGTAGTTGCTGGTATTGCTGTGAGGTTACAGTAAAGTGACCGTTTCTTTCTGTTTACTTAGGTAGAGACGACAGGTGGTTTTGACCTTGTGGGTAAGAAATGATGTTGCTACAGCAAAAACACATGCACTGTCATTGGTTTATATATTCCACTAGGGGTGGGTCACACATTCAGGTACAAAGATCAACACTTGGGTGGGGGGAGTGTTGTGTTCTCGTAAAACCCCTTTGTTGTAGTCTTGGAATACGCTACAGCAGTGGCTACTGTGCTCATGGAAAACTACAAGATGGACGCGGTTTGTGGATGCACCAAGAGGTTTTTTTTTTGATTATTTTTCTTTTCTTCCTCACAAAATGAGCTTGAGTTTTCAGAGCTGCCTTTTACCTTACTTAAATGTTCTTTTTCCAGGCGTTAAACACAAACAGCTCTGGATTCAACCAAGACCTTGAGAATCAAGTAATGACGGAATAATGGTGTACAAGGATCTAGCATTCAGGTCTCTACTGCGATACAACTTTACCATTAATACTACAGGTACAGAGTACTTTCAAGCTATACACATATGTACAAACTATGCAGAGATCTTACAAATAAAATAAAACAAAATCAGTGTGCGTTTTCTTTCTGCAAACTTCAAGATAAATAAAATGTGCTAAAAATATATCGTGTGCCTCTCTCACGCTTAAGTGCTTAAGTGTTTTCTTCCTGTCTTTTTTCCCCCACACTTAAATGAAAACAGAAAGTTTAAATATTTCAATCAGGATAATACAAAACTGTCTAAAATAAAATAAAAGTATTAAAAAAAAACTGGAACAAAATCATGATATGTAACACAACACTAAAGCTCGCCAGTTTTCATTTGTCAGCTTATTTCAGTGATGTAGGTGTGAGCACTGTGTACTTACAGTAGAAGTAGTGTGAAGAAGCAGGCTTTTCGACTCCTCGAACTGCTTCTATTTTTAAAGTCTCAGATTAAACACACCGTCAAGTTAAAACATCCCCTTAGTGTTCTGTTTAATTTACTGAAAGTGCTTCACATACTTACACACACACACACTCCTCCTTGGAGACATTTTATGTCTCCAAATGTGCAATTTTTGCATTTGGATCCCCTCCCAGCTACCCACCATTAGGTGTTAATCAAAACCAAACAAGGAAAACACAAAGAGTGTAAACTTATGACAACCAGTGGATGCAGTTAAATGACAGCAGGAAGAAGAGTGATACAAGAGGGAGACATGGAGTGTGGTTAATGCGGCTGCGACACTATATGACCTGGCAGCAGCTGTGTGGGGTAGGGGTGCAGAGCAAACCCTCCTTGGGGCTCCGGTGAATGTTGACGGACAATGTTTTCTCGTTCAAAGGCATTTGCAGCGCACGGTTCTTTATGTTCCTGTGGTTTTCTCTAGCCAAATCCAGTTCCCCAAGTCTCAGTGTTGCAGTGCAAGGTCCATCCAGCAGAGGATCCGCCAGAACGTCTCCCAGTGGGGGCTGGTGGTAAAGGTTGCCCTTCGGGGAGGGCCCGCCAAGCAGCGACACTTTGTCCAGGCTGCCGGTGGAGCCGCCCATGCACATCCTCCACATGGGGCGCTCTTGGGGGTCAGCCCCAACGCTGCTGCTAATGCCGCCACCGCTGCTACCGCTACCACCGCCGCCGCTGACACCTCCTCCTCCCCCCGTCAGGTTGTGGAACTGCGAGCTCAGACATAGACTCATGAGTTTTAGGCTTTCCACCAGCCCACTGGCTGCTTTTGCTGTACCTTTTCCCTGCAGTGACCCCGATCCTGGACTGGCACAGTTGGGGGGACTACCCTGCCCGGCCACTCTTTTCTCACTGTCCACCTCCCTCTCTCTTTCATCCTCTTGTCCCACTACAGTCAATGAATGTGAATTAAAGGGACTTTCTGTTTCATCATCACTTGTCTCTGAGCTGGGAGTTAGAGTGGCATTTGTTGGCGACTTGGGAGAGGACATAAGCGTTGAGGGTGATGGTATTCTAGAGTTCAGATTTAGGCTAAGACTTGGCTTAGGAGGACAAAGTCCATGTAATTCTATACATTCCTCCTCTTCATCATCCTCTTTGTCTTCCTCGTGGATCTGATTTAAAACTGGAGCACTCATTCTAGAAGTCATACGATTACCAGCGGAGCATGTTGAGGAAGAGGAGCAGGAGGTTTTGGAACGCAGCACGACTTGAGAAGGTAAAGCAGAAGGGGGCAAGCATTTATCTTCTGCACCTTCTTCTTCCTCGTCCTCTTCAACACTGAAAAGACTGGGACTACGTGGTTTGCAAGGACCCAAGGACCCCAGAGAGCCCAACCTGAGGGGGTTGGAGTGGGGCTTCCCCAGAGACCTCGAACTCTTTTCCTGATTCTGCCTTGCTGGCTGTTGTTGGCTGGAAGATGGGGTCTGGATCTCCTGCCGCTGATTGAGGTCGAGCAAAGCGGTTTTAGGCCTGGGACCTTTGTGGAGGCTCTCAGCGCTTCTGGCAGGGGACTGGGGGCCCCCAGGGTGGGATATAGCTGGACCTCCAATGCCATCACTGACTTCCTGGTGTACATCTACTCTGGTAGGCCAGGATTGCCTGTGTGGGATTAAACAAAATAGTGCATAACTTTACTATTTAATTCTTAAATCAGTCAAACATAGACCAGAGTGAATGTTTCAGTTGATCTAAGCTGATTCTTAACATTTAAACAAATAAAAAACAATAAAAAAAAATGCTAGTTAGCTTAGCATAAAAGCTGTCAACAAAGAAGAGGTATTTTTTTTAGACTTTTGCTTCTACATTTTGTTTCATAGAAAAATAACAATGCATATGTCCAATAAAAAACATTTGCTAAAGTTTGGTGAGTCATTGTTTATGAATATTATCTAAATTACGATTTTGGAACAGTGGAAAGCTTGCTAGTACCTCTGCTATTTTCAATGCTAAGGTATAGAAGGCTATTTGTTAACATATAGTATAATAGTATTCATCTCAGTTAAAAGTTAGATTCTTTCTCTTAGGAAAGTTTCTGGGTAAAATGAAAAGCTGCAGTATCTAACTGGCAGATTTCTGTTTACCATTAGTAAGTTTCAATCAAACTATACTTCAATAAATATTGCTAAGCCTGCTGCTACACCTAGCTTTTTATGCTAAGCTAGGCCAACAAACTCCACACTTCCTCTCACAAAACAGAAGACTTTATTAGCATACTATTGAAGTATTTCAACAATAGAATAATTGCGTAAGCCTATTTATTTAAATTATAAAGTTGAAAACTGTAAAACATTTTTAAAATTTATGATTTAAAAACATTAAAAACTGCCTTTGTCACAGCTTTGTTATTTCCATTTGGTTCATAGTGAAGAGAAAAAAACAAAATCAAAGGGAAATGATAAAAATAAAATTTCTGCTTGGTGTTTTTTATTCATTATATTACCAAATATTTTATAAATCTAATTTTTAATAAAACAGCATAAGTAGATGTGCTAAGTAGATGGTTAGACAGTTTTTAGGCAGCAAAACGCACATACTCTTTATTTATTAATGAAGAATTAACTGTTTTATTCCATTTTCTTTATTAATTAATCAACGTTATTACTTTTATTATTATAATTATAGATATAAGCTTAATTTTCTCCCATTTCACTGTTGTTGCAGCAGAAATTTACAGCTCTATCCGGTCTTTATTCTGTGTTCAGCAAAATAGCTCTGGCCATCCCTATTCTGTCTGATTTATTTTCTGTGGATTGATCGTACACAACATGGCAGAGAAACCTACATTTCTGCAGCAGGAAATGTTTACCTGAACTGGGCCTTGCTGGGGCTCGGCGATCGTGTCTGGTTGTGCTGTTCTTTTTCCTGCCTATCCCTCAGCATCCTCTCCGCCAGCAGAAAGTAGGTAGCTGTTATGTGGTTGTACTGGTTAGACTCCAGAGCCCTGAGACAATAAAAACAAAACATTAATCAGAATTATACATGCATATCAACATCTCCTTGGGATAACCACCCTAACTAAAGACGATGGGACGGCCAAGGAGACTGAATTTAGCATGGCAGAATCTCACACTCAGCCGCCATCTGCCACTTAATGGTATTTAAACAGTTGGTGAGAGCCAATTAAGCTTCAGTGGAATGTGTGAACTGTGACAAATTCTCTGAGATTTTGCAGGACTGGATAGGTTCATAGTAAATGACATGTGTGAGAACGTCTATGTGACATTTAGAGGGAGACACGTACTCAGTTATGGCGTCTCTGTCTGCGATGCCTCCCAGGACCATGCGTTGAATGATGGATCCGTGCTCCTCCTCGGATAAACTGCGATACGACACCAGAGGGGTGGACAGCTTGGTGGCTGGGGAGGGGTCGACACCTTGGAGCCATTCGTGGCTCTCGATCTGCTCTAGGGTAGCTCGTTTCTTTGGGTCTCTCTGCAGCATATGGCCTATAAGGCTGGAAGGGGGACATAATGAAGACAATCATTTTATAATACTGAGAATAATTTAAACCTTTTTAAAATTGCCTTGATTGTGACCCTTTAACTTTACTCTAATGCACTTGCTTTTTTCCCCTTATCTCTTCACATAACAATCAGGCAATCAGGCATTTTATGCGGTAGACCAACACAATATCTATTGCAGTGGAAACCAATTAAAAATCAGCAGGGTCCGAACAAAGAAAATCAACAACCAGTAAAGGTCCGGAGACATTTTTAATTATAATACATGACTTTAAACAGCATTTAATACTGAAATAAAATGCAGGTGTTTATGCATCCATGTTATACATTGAATTTTTAAATAAAAAAAACATTAAAAATATTAAATTTTTCATTTTAAAATCTGAATTGTTTTTGAAGTAGAGAACAATCGTTCAGTTTGGTATATAGACAATTTCCTGACTCACTTTGTTTTATAAAACACCTGAACTGACTGTTTTATTTCTTTTTTTTAATGCTTAATGAGAGCAGTGGGCTTTATGCTGCCCTGAAAAGCTTTAAATCAATTGGCGACAAAGCCATACTAAAGCACATATCAAGGTGCTCATTTGTGAGCCTCGATCCATATTTATATTTGATTCTGTTCATGGTGGAGAATCCTGCTTCACAGCAGCAGGTTGAGCCAAACAAACTTAAAATGTGCAGGGTCGTCTTTGATCACGCTATTGCATTTTTCTTTCACTAACTCACCGCAGTTCTTCCAGCAGTCCACACTTTCTCTGCTTTCTTTTTGTCATCATCTTCTGCTTCTTTCCCATTGCCCATCTTTCTACAAGGTTTGCCTGCTGTGTCTAAAAGTAGCACCAGCAGCAACCCAGACTGACAGCAGCTTATTGTCTAATTTATATCACATGTAGCCTGGTGCCAGACGCTACGATTGGCTTTACCATGTTAACAGGAGAAGCGGCGCAAGTGACATTTAGACGCTGTTACTGGAAAACATGCAGTAATTTATAAATGTTTTAATCAGGTTGGGTCCGGATTAGCCAGCAGGTGGGTTCAGATGCGGACCCTGATTTGCTAATCTGTGACCTCTGATCTAGTGTATACTTTGATATAAACCAGGGCTAACCAAAGTTGGCCCTCAAGGGCCACTGTCCTGCAGGTTTTAATAGTTTCCTGCTAACACAAGAAGTGTGTAGAGATTAGTCCAGAAAATTAAAAATGAGGTCTACTAGTTAGGTGTCATCTGATAGCAATGATTTGCATTGGAGTTGCTTTTCTTTTTTTTTGAGTATCAGACTAGAGTTGGCAAATTTACACAAAGGTATGTACATGCCACACTTTTAATATGTTTTAAATAAGAAAAAAAATGCATAGATATAAATAAATGAAGGAATAAATAAAAAGAAATTGGTGAAACCTATGCATCATTTTCCTTTCAATTCACAATTATACACTTGTTGTGAGTCTCTCTATATAACAATCACATTAAAATACATTTACATTTGCAGTTGTATTTGAAGTAAGAAGGTGTGAAGTTCCATTGGTAAGAAAACTGCAAAGCATCGTAAATTAACATTTCCACAAATCCAAAATAAAGAACTTTAAACCCCTTGAGTTAATGTTAAAATTTAGAGCAGAGGATGTAGCCCCACTGGAGGGGGCACAGTGTAATTGCAGGTAAAAATAAACTGGATAAATGAGCCATTTAAAAAATAAAACATGATGTCAATGTGACATGTAGTATGTAGTACTACAATGTAGTAGACCTTGCCTGTTACTTACTAAAATAAACGGATAAAATTAGAATAATTACACTTTAAAAATGTTCTAGTGGAATATTGTTAATTTTATTGCAATTTGCAATATGTTTTACTGCAGTTCAGTTTTCTTTATTCAATTTTTTAAAAAAAAGATGGTCGCAGAGGGTTTGGAGGAGTAAAACTTTTTTTTTCTTATCTAACTTTTAAAACTACTGATTTAGAGAAAGTTCATATGTAAACTTGATTTACAGATACATCAATTTAAACCCTTTTAGACTTAAAGTGAGCAGCGAATAAATGAGCCACTTATTATACAAAGATATTTGTTTGTACAATGAATTAGTAATTCAAAGTAAAGGATATGTTATGGTGGCCAAAACTGCTAAACTAGCCCTAAAATTATATAAATATTAGCATTTCTTTCATCTGATTATTTTTAGTTTCTGCTCAACTGGCTTAAAATCTAAAATCATATGACTATCACATCCGCAGAAGTTCCTGCAAAACTACGTGGGAAAAGAAAAGGTAAGATTTAGTATTTAATCAACACTGTAATGTAAAGTCAAGGCCCAGCAGAATGTGCTTTCTGAGCTGCGGCTGTTCAGAGATCTCTCTGTCAGCGAGGCAACATTAAACCCTCACTGTGCTAAAAACAGAGGGCCGATTTGGAAGCGGTGCATTAGTTCCACTTAACGCGGCGCTGCATCCCTGCTGCAGCGGCTCAGTGAAAGCAGGACAACGGAGAGCAGCAGAAGATGAGACCGCACCCTCACTTCTCCGCTCTCTCCCCTTCACACATCTCCAAACATGAAATATGCAGCACCTGCAGAGTACTGCGTCCATCTGTGTGGGTTTGTGTGCCGGGGTATTACTCACTCTCTGCAGGCATGGGAGATATGCGGAGGCACTGTGTATCTACAGTCCATGATCATGGTCAGGGTCTCGCTGTCGTTAGCCTCCTGAAAAGGGGGCTGACCGCACACCAGCATGAAGAGGATCACCCCCAGACTCCAGATATCTGCAGACACACAGAAAGGGAATGCTTTTATTAAATTGGCAACAATGGAACAAGAGAAGTTATTTAAAGTAAAAAGGTCACAGAAATAAGATGCTCCATAAAGCAAAGCAAATTCATCTTCACTGTTTAGTGACCTAGATCAGAATATACATATGAGCTGAGTTCAAACGGAGCGTGAAGCACATTCGATCAGAACCATTTCCATAAATATGTGCAGGATCTCAGGACACGTCTGTCTAAGCGAAGACGAGGCTCTGCGCGGCTGCCTGCAGCCAGCAGCGCGTTCGCATGTCAGCACACGCATCTGCACACCCATATACACACAGTCTGAGGAAAGTGGGTTAACGTGTTCATCCTTTGGAGCTTCATGCAAATGCTAATTTCATGGAACAGTTCTTTTTAGTCCAGTTGTTGTACAATAAAAGGGGAAGGAGCACAACTTTGTGTGCTCAGGGCTGTCACCGCTGCCCCGGTCAGCAGGATGCTCCACTGACACACATATTCAGCGCTCATCCGCTGACTGCAAGCATCGCAGAAGTGCACAATCAGTTGGCCTTTTGGTCCCATCTCAGCAGAATCTGACTGATGTGAAAGGGAGGGTGGGGGGCTGGGGTATTTCCCTGCTTTAATTAACTAAAGTGCAAATTCTTAATTTACTGTTTGAATAAAGAAAAAAACGGTGCGCCTCGAAGCTGACAGCCTGTCCGACAGATTTAAATTGCTGTGAGAGTTAAACTTAATGACAATGAAAGAAAGGTTTTTGCTGCTGAAAGCTGTTTCTTTGTTCTCAACGTTTTATTGAGGGGATGATATCAGACAAAAAAAATGTGAAGAAGCATCACATCCAGATAACTTATCAAAGTGATGTCTAAAAATATAATTATAAGCAATAAGCAGTTAAACACTATGAATATAATAACTGATACCTGATAAGCAGTACGTATTTTGCAAAACTGTTTATGGTAACGGGTTCATAAGCACTTTTACATCTCATTTTGCATTTAGTGAAATTTAAAGTGTTTTCTATGGCTTCTTAAGAGACAGATTAACACTAAGTAGCAAATTTATTGGACATTTAAGGAAAATTTTAATTAAGGTCTGGACATAATTTTCTTTTCATAGTCTTATTTGTATCTCGGTCTGGACTTTATCTGGGCCATTCCGAACATGTAAAACTAATGAAGTTAACAATACCATTGTAGTTCTTGCTGTGTGGAGAGTAAAGGCTCGTTTATACTAATACCCCATTTACACTACCCTTGAAAAGCGATCCATGCCGAGACCTGTCTTAAGCAGGCCGAGCTTGGTTCTGACGACCATTTACACATCACGCTATCTCGGTTCCTCGACTCCTCGCCTCCTAGTGACGATCTGCGGTATTACTGCCAGTATTGAAGGAGGAAATCAAGCAGTTGGTGGCGGTAATGCACCAAAAGTTGTTTGCCAACCGCCATAAAACACAAGAAGAAGAAGACGAAGAAGGAGGTAATCAAGCAAATCAAAATGGCGGCGCCCGTCACATTCAGAAAGTTATGCTTGATTATTATTGCTGTACTTCGGTGTTTGCGGAGGGTCAGGCGATGACGGCAACCTTTTGTGGATGTTTATAGTTGTTTATAGTTGTTCTTCTTCTTCTGTTTTGTGTTGGTTGGCAAGCAACTTCCGGAGGGGCGTTACCGCCAACTACTGGAATGGAGTGTGAATCGGGATGCGCAGCCAGACGGAGATGACACGTTCTGCTCATGCGCTCTCGTTATCAGAGAAGCGAGGCAGGGAAAAACAGAGACGAGCCCACCTCTGGAACTGGTCTGCAGTTAGCTCGGCCCGGTTGTATCTAGCTCGGTTCAGTTCAGTTTGCTTTCCATTTACACATGATAAGTTATCTCAGTTACTGAGCTCGGACCGGTCTCGGCACGGTTTTTCAAGGGTAGTGTAAATGGGGTATAAGAAACCAGGTCGTCTGCATTGTGTGTCGCAGTGAACGCAAATGTGCCCCCGCGCCTTCCACAGACACTCTGCTGCACCTCTTCATAATTGTAGGTGACCGCAGACAGGAGGCCTCTGATTGGTCAAATCTACATCCGTTCTACACTATGCGTATTTCCTATTTGGTACCTCACCGGTTTGATTTGTTTGTATGACCACCATTGTGGATAACGACTTGTGAAGATGAACCAGCTAGCAGAGCGAGGTGCGCGAGAACGCTGGGACCCTTTCTCCACCTGGATCCCGGCTCTTTTTCGCCCTCATGTTCCTCCGTTGTCGCACAAACTTGCCCCCACTTCCTCACCGTCTCGGCCGTATCTAGACCCACAGCTAGTTAATGATTGTCCGTCTTGCGTTGTGGCGTGGAATAACATAGCGTAGACCACGCTTCAATATTGGGCATAAACCATAAATATCTGCATCATATCTGTGACACACTGCTGCGGGAGCATAACCAGCCCTTATAACCATCCCTTAACCCTTTGCCCCAGTCACAAGTCCTTTGCTATATCACCCATGTGGGGCGACAGGGGTGTCGGATGTAGGAACTCGCCCTGAAATCGAAGGGTTGATGGTTCAAACCCTGGCTCCGGTTTTCAGAGTTGTCGTGTCCTTGGGCAAGACACTAAGCCCACATTGCGCTACCTCTGGTGGTCAGTGGGTCCGGTGGTGCCAGTGTACGGCAGCTTCTGTCAGTGAGCCCCAGGGCAGCTGTGGCTACAATGTAGCTTGCCATCATCAGTGTGTGAGTGAATGGGTCAAAGACTAGAGTAAAGCCTTTTGGTCAAGCCTCCTGACTTGGAAAAAACGTTATACAAGTACTACTTATCCCAGGATTATACTTTATTTAGTTTCATCCATTTTCCCCATTAACTCTAAATATTTTTCTACTGAAAGCAAACATGTCTATAGAATGATGCCGTCACCACAGCGAACAATTATAGCAATGCTATAATGGGGACTGAATAAAATATAATTTTTTCAGATCATGTGTCATAGCGTCTTGCTTTCTTAAATTCTGACACTTTTTTTGGCCAATCCCATAAACTTCCCCAAACCAACCACCTGGAAGAAGGGTCAGGAGCTCTGGGTATTCTAGCCAACTCCCTTGATAGGCTGCCATCTGCTCAATAAGCCCAGCTGGGACATTTTCTTATCTCTAAATATTTCACAGTTGACTCATAGTGTTATTTTAGGAAAGTGAAGGCAATCGAACAAGACATTTATAAAAAGCTCACTTCGGAGGTCAGACAATAGGTCCTACAAACTCTGTATGAGCGTAAGTTTAGCAGGGTCCATAGAGACATGGATTAGAGTTTAGTGTGGGTGAACTTGGCTGACCTTAACATAGTCCACATCTCAAACTGACAGAAAACCATTTAGTTGAAACTGAGCAAAAGACTCTCGTCCAACATCAGTGTCTGACCCCATAAATATGCTTCTAAAAGAACGGTCTAAATTCCCATAAACATTTAAACCTTGTGGGAAGCCTTTGTAGCAGACCTGAAACTGTTTCAGCTGCAAATGTTGGACCAATGCCTTATCAGAGATGATCTATTAAGGATGCTGGTGTCTTTAGATAGACTAGAACAGAATGATCCCTCCTGAAGTTCATGTGTTTATAAAGGCAAGTAACTCACTACTTTAGGTAAGATTGTCGTCCTAAATGAGGGTAATTTATAGCATGGTTGCAAAATGATTCCAACTTGCAGCAGGAGGTGGTGAAGATTAGAAGTGGACGACCTTAAAGCAGCGACAGTGAGCTTGATTTAAAAACTAGGAGCAAAGAGGTGGGAATGAAAGATGCTCTGCTCTGCTGGTGAGATGAAGAAAAAACTCCAGGTGATGACCTTCCAGAGCACATTTATCTGATTCATTGTGAGCATTTTAAAAGCTGCTGTGGTGCCTCTCTAAAGAGCCTCAATTAAACCAGCCATATATTGTTGCTAAACGTGTCCAGCCACGTTAGAAGAAATTCTAACTATTTTAAAAGGTTGATTAATCAGTTCTTAACAAAAGGTGTGTTTTTGGAATGTGGACCAGACTGAAAATAATGGAGCCTCAGTGGATTCATCATCCTCGGACCCCTGGTGATTTGTCTCTACATGTCTCTGCTTCGCTCCAGTTCGCCGGAACACGCCGGAGAATCCAATCTGTTGGAGTAAATGTGTTGCTTCACCGTGAGCAGCGGCGTCTCTTTCTGCTGATGGAGGGAGCAGGAGCTGCAGCAGCCCCCACCGCCGCCTTACCCCCTCAGCAGCGTAGCCTAGCAACCGAGAGCCCCGCTCCCTCCTTACTTGCGTCAGCTGTTCGTCGAACTTTCCTTCAATAACTTTACTTATAAACCAGATGGTTAACAGGCTTGCGTCAATGCACTGTAGCAGAGTATGCACTGATGATGAAGGCTGATTATCACAGGCTAAAGAAATGTAGAGTGTATTTATTCAGCGTGAGAAAATATCACTTTGATGAGAACATTTTTTAAGAAAGCTAAACAAACATAGCTGGGTGCGTAGGAGAAAAATGGGCACAAACCCAAAATCTGAAAAAGGGAAACTCCTGCACATTGTTAAAGTTGCTTTAACTTCATTTTCAATCTAAGCCCTTCAAACACATTTCAGTGATCATAACTTCTCTTTAAGGCAAGGCAAATTTATTTGTATAGCACAATTGAGTACAAAGACAATGCAAGTGCTTAACATGATTAAAATATAGGAAAATAAAACAGAATCAAAGCAAGTAGGAAAAAAAATTTAAATAAAAAAATAAAGTGGTTCTTATCACATATATCCATCAGACAGCTGTACAAAAAAGACAGAAAGCTGTAAAATTATCTATTTAAATATTGAAAACCAAACATGTACAAACTTAATCATTTAGATGTGAATAAATTACGTTAAAATAAACCAAATTAGACTATAGACCTCAAGAACAATCCTGGTAATATATATTTTTTTAACATTAATGAAGAACTGATTTTTAATAAGCGTCTTTGATGTTCAAAAAATTATGCTTATCAAAAATTTTCATGTTTAACGTGTACAGGAGTTTCCATTTTTAACAAACATTCAAAATGAACATTTCTGGGGAAGTTTTGGAGGAGTGTTTAGCTTGGTTTGCAGTCGTTGGATCAGAGCCAAAGGCCCCGAGGCTGAATCAGGTTCAACTCGTATCTGGTAAGAGCAACGGCATCCTCTATTCCTTGCTTTGCTTTAACAAACTCCAAATACACCAAAGGTGAAGTTAAAGAACCTCAATAAATAAATAAATAAGATAATTTGCAAATGCAATACAGTGATTTATGTTTGAAATAAGAAAAAAACAACTCTATTATCTTATGTCCAGTATATAAAATCCAATCATCCTATTCTAGGGACAGAAATACTGATTCTATTGGGAGATTTAAATTTAGGAAAAATACATGTAAAAATACATGTATTGTAAAAAAAATCTCTACTTCCTTTTTGAAAGTTTTGTACTTTTAAACATATGGGTATCCATCTATATAAATAACCATGTAAACACCCTGTGCAATAACCCTATATAATAATCCAACTAAAATAAAAACAAAAAAAACCCCGTCATATATGGTCGAACTGAATATACTGTATATATCCCTTGCACATTTTTCTTCCTTTGGCACATTCTTCTTCTTTGACTATTGGAGCTGATGTAATGAGTACATTTCTCCACTGTGAGATCAATAAGTCAATCAATCAATCATAAGTCTCTCCAAAAAGTCCTTTGTCTGATCAGGGTTCTCCTGCCTGTTTGATGTTAGATCTATAAAGGTGGGCACCAAATGTCTGAGCTCTGTATCCTATCTCTTAAGATTTACCCAGCCATCCTACAGAGGAAGCTTGTTTATCTCAGATCTTGTTCTTTTATTCTTGATCCATATTTCACGACCATAGATGAGGGTTTTAGCATAGGTGTCCCTGTGGTTTAGAGATTTGATTAAAAACAAAAAAAGTAGCCACATTACTACGAACAACACTCCCATCCAGTCTATCCATCCACTGCCCAATAACACACCAGATATTCAAACTCCTCCAATTTGGTAAAGAGTTGTGGAACACTCTACATGTTCTTGTTAATAAACACTAACTTCCAAAATCAGACGCTCTACCCTCTAATACCAGGAGATCCAGCCTGTCACCACTACAGTATGACCAGAATTGTTGGAAGACTCCAACGTTCAGTAGAAAAAAAGCTTGACATTGACAAGAGAATGCAACAAAGGGTCTTGCTTTGTCCATATGGAGACTGGACAGATCTTTATTACATTGCCAGCAGCCTATAATCCCCATTATCCTGCAGTCTCCTACCAAAAAAATGCCCTTGAGAAAACAACTAACTCTCTTCAGACCAACAGAACACATGAAAACTAAACTAGAAAACCAAACTCCTGTGAGCCGGTCAAGAAATCTGCAAAGGTAAAGACCTTTGTTCCATCGTAAACACAAAAAACCTCCCCGTTCCTCCAGAAACTGGGGCTTGGTGATTGGCTGGAACCCCCTTCTATCTTCAGGCACCAACTACTGACCAAATGTCATCCTGAGTAACATTGTAGGTGGAAAAAACTAATTTTTTTTTAAACATGAAAAACCAAAATGTGTTTATAAATGCATCCGCTGAAACTTTAACTACTACCATGAGCTCTGGCTAAATCAGACAAAGCTAGAGCTTTTAACCAATACACATAACGGCCAAACCAACAAAGAGACAGGTCGCCAGATCCAACATTGACCGCCTTCCAAGATCATTACTGTGACTGTGGATGATCAAGAATCGTAGCTCTCAAAGTGTGGTAATAGTGACAATGACCTTTCCAGAAGAAAAAAGCTGACAAACAGGGTCTGGTGATAATTCTTTCAAAGTAAAAGTCTAACCAGAGCTTTTTTAAATCTTTACCAGGGGTGCCAATAAAAGTGGTATTATGTAAATAGAACCTAATGACACAAAACAGTCCAATATATTTATACATGCCCTCTGAATATTGCACACGCCTTGCTTATGTCCTTAGAGAAAGCTATTAGATAAGTTATTATTTTAAAAAGCAGCTTGAGCTTTTTGAAGAGGAAGAGCAGCGCTATATTTAACTTTCCATTTATCGGAGACAAAAAAAAAAGCCCACACAGTCGAGAACATCAGAGAAGAAAACGCACTTATCAGTTCGACATCACCCACCCAAAAAAAAAAAAAGAAAGAAAGAAAGAAAAACCCGCAAATCCTTATTTTCTCAGAACAATGTAAATGCAAATTCTTTTATTTAATGTCAAAATCTTTGTCGAAAGATAATAGATCATCACTGCAGTTCTGCCAGCAGCAGCATCATTATTATTACACAGCAAATAAGTAAAGATAAAAAAACTAATTATAAAAATGATGAAGGAATATATTCCTGAGCTTATAACGCAATAGACTGATAACAGATTTTTTTTACTTAAAACAGCATGGTGGAGTTTAAAAAATACACCCATAATCTTTAAAAACATCTGTAAGGTTTTGATAAAGTTAAGATGAGGGGAAAAAAAATCATCATCAATGAGCTTGGATGTGATAAAGTTCCTCAAATATTAGCTCTTTTTTAAAAACAAGCGATAGAGATTAGATGAAAAACCTGTCTTTCTTTAATTCCTGCTATTTAACTGAGTCTTTAAAAGCAGCCACGTTAAAATCAGGGTCCCCGACGCATCATCGACACCCCCTCCTGGCTCGTTCGACTAATTGGAGAACGTCCAAGTTTGCCTCCTGATGCCATTAAAGTACAGCAGTCTCTATTTTCTTAAAGATCTCGCAATAATACATCAACAAACACCAGAGGCTTCTGCTCATTATGAGACTTTAAGAGATCAATCTGTTTTGGCGCAGGTATGAGAATGGGATCATGCCAGGAAAAAAAAAAAAAAAAAGTGTCACAGCAGCACTTTGTATAAAACAGGAAGATGAATTGGAAAAGATCCTGCCAACTGTTTAACACAATTCTTAGCTGTAGGCTGTCAGAGAAATATGGCTTTAATCTGATTTTTTTTTTTTTTTGTCATTGCACATTAGGTGTGGAAATGAATATTTTTAAATAATAATAAATTCAGCAGAAAGGGAACATTTCCAATTTTTTTGTTTCTTAATACTTATTTTTATTAAGGGTTTCAAACTTACAGATATTTCTGAGATTTTCTTGTCACCGTGCAGTTTAACAAGGATTCCAGGGCTTTAAAAGAGAAAGCAGCCCACACCATGATGGATCCCCTACTGTGCTCACCAGTGGGCATATTATTAATCCATCTGTTCTATTACGCTAAATTTACCCGGAGTGTTTTTAAGGTGAAAAGCTTCTCCTCAGAGCACAAAGATTGTTACCACTCAAAACCACCACGTCTAATGGTAAATATAAGGAGTAGATGAGACTAAAATCCTACTATTTGCAGTTATTCTCTAATTATTTTTGCTTTTTTAGTGAAAACAATTATTTCTTATCATTAAAATGGTCCCCCTGATGAATAAATGTGTTTAAAGTAAAGGTTGAAGATGACCTAATGAAAGACATTTTTTTACACATCTGAATAGAGGGTAGCAAATATTTGACCTGTCATTACTTATGCATATAGTGTGTTTCTTGGAATATATAATGCTTGGACTTATTATTCTGTTGCATAAACACCTAATTTAATGATCTTGTTTTCTCAAGGACTTCCTCACTGGACCAACAACCTCCACATGAGCCCGGCTCGATAAAACCAAGTGTTAACAGCCTCTTTATCTCTGCAGCAAACTTGGCTTTGTGCCACTTGGCATGACTTAAGACGAACCCAAACATCCCACAGAGTGTCAGCATGGCTGCTTGTAACCCCTGAACAGGTAACTTGGAGGCTCTCAAATGTCAGGAATGCTGCTCTCCTTTCAGGCTGCTCTACATCAGCCTTAGCCAGTGATACGGTGGGCACAATATTGCATGCCGGCTGAGTGGATAATCCCAGCAATCAAAACATCATCATTTCAGCTGAATGAACAATAACGCAGGGGCAATGCAGCTGCTCCACGGCACGAAGCACACACAAAAACACAAAGCACCGACAATGTACACAGACATGGCCTCAGACAGAGCTCACGCAGTCACACAAAGCCCCACACGTGGCCAAGGAGCACAGCGATGACTGCACTTTTAAGAATATGGAAGCTTGGCACAAAGGGAGAGAGGAGAGACAAGGAAGACGGATGGAAACAGCCACTGCAAATTCACTCAGTCAGAAAAACAGAAACAGCTTCTCTCGTCTTTCTGCCTTTTCTTTCCCCTACGTTTGCTGCAGTGGCCTCTGGGCAGACACGAGAACTGCTGATGCCTCTCCTCGCTCCGTCTACTTCCCCCTTTTCCTTGCGCCTCCCTTTTTCCTCATCTAGCAGCTACAGCCTGCGACCCTTCTGTTTTGATTTTGTTTCTCATTTCAATTTAATTTAATATCCAAATGCCTCTATCCAAAGTAGAAGTGCATTGGAGCTGCAAACAATGCCAGTAATGCTGCTTCAGGTGCATTTGTAATATTCTATTTCAGATATATCAGTGAGTAGTACTATAGGTAGAAGGACTCTGTTAAAACCTCCAGCCCTTCAATCAGCTGACTAAAAAGCTGTCAGCAGGGACCATTCATAAAGCAAACTGGGTCAAACACTATAGTAAAAGCCAATACTCTGTGTCATTTTGCAGAGAGTTCATATAAATCAATGCTCTAGTTAGACTGAAGCGTCCTGCACAGCAGCTGATTCAAACAAAGTCTGGAATCAAACTAACACTCCACAAGCTAAAACCGATCAGACTTACCAACAGCAGGAGCGTCGTACTCGTCCCCCAGCAATATTTCAGGAGCAGAGTAAGCCAGCGAGCCGCAGGATGTGTTCAGCGTCTTTCCCGGCTGAAAGCGGTTGCTGAAACCAAAATCTGTGAGCTTGACGACTCCCTGCTTCTCAAAGAAAACCACGTTTTCAGGCTTCAGGTCCCTGTGGACCACATGGAGCCGGTGGCAGTAGGAGATGGCGTGGACAATCTGGGCAAAGTAACACTTGGCGACCTTGAAAAAAGGAAACAGAAACACAGTCAGACACATATTTTAAATGTTGTCCTTCAATCCTAGTGAGCATTTAAACTTTCCCAAAAATAAACAAAAAATGCAGATACACATGCTAACTGGCTAAAAGTATTTACCAGGTAATTAAAAATTAGTGTTGCACCAATACCAGTATCGGACGGGGCCCCAATTCAGCACTAAAATGGTGGTATAGGTATCAGCAAGTACCAACAAATAGGGAACGGATAACATTTTGAGAGCCAAAAGTTTATTTAACTATTGTCACCCATTCCAGGTAGGCAATAAAACTGGATTCACTTTGTATTAGTCTTTTTTCTGCTTCACAAAGGTAGGCAGCAGCTTGACAAATACAGGATGGCAATTATTTTACATCCAAGGAGTATGCAGTTCTTCATATATACACACACACACATCAATTCCAAACAGATGGTATCGCTATGGTATCGGTATCAACCAATACTGCACAGCCAGGTATTGGGTATCAGCATCGGGGCCAAAAAATGGCATCGGCGCAACGCTATTAAAAATTACATTTTTCAAAAAGTTTAAATCTTAATTTCAAGGAGCTCAATGACTTGTAATTGATTTGTCTTAATTCATGTCATTTTTAATTAATGACCTTCTGTATGTTTACTTTGTTAAAGTTTTTGGCAAATTGGTGGTGGGTTAAAATAATTGCTTGAGGGATAAAGATAAAGTTTTGAAAGACTGTTTACATAACTTTAAATTATCTTTCAGTAAAGCACCAATCAGAACTGCTTTATGCCAAGGTTATATCCTTTAGCCCAACTTTATTACAAGCCAATGTAAATTAATAAAATATGTTATTTATAACAGTTCAATGATCATCTAGCAGTTTATCTTGTGAACCTGATATGTACTCTGATACAGCTTTTAGGAATAGGCAATAAAACATAATACTTTTTGGCAGAAAACAGACAAGCCTATTAAAGAATAGCACTGGGGAATATTGGTAGAGGTTATGAATATTTTCTTTAATATTTCTTTGATAAAAAAAAAAGGTAATGTCAAGAAGAAACAAGTCTGAGCTAACATCACACTGTGAAATATTTTTTATGGTATTTCATTGATAATCTTTCAATTTACCTTTTGGACTTTAAACCTGCTCTGATACAACGTGTAAGAACATGTAAATATGCTAAATTACTAGCAGTAATTAAACAATAAACATTTGATAAGAAATAACTGAATTTTCCCACCTTTGAAAATAATACAGGGAAAAACACAATTTTAAATCAATGAAAGCTAAAGCAAAGACTTTTCGCATGTAAAGTTTGCTCTGGAATAAAGATGTTGCTGACAGACTTTGCTGAAATTGCAATGACATTTTGGCGGGAAATTAGCCTGTTCAAAGAAACCATGGTGAAGATTTGGTAAAAGTTACAAATAATTTTATTCAAAAAGTTCTTATACAATGTGTAAGAACAGAGGGTTTTTATACAATATTATGTTAATCAGAAAGCTAGGGTGAATACAAATAAGCTAATGTTAAGCTAGTGTTAATGGTTGTCAGTAAACTGTAAGAACACTGAAAAATATGCTAGCTAGCTAATAGCAAAAAAAATTCTATAGTTACTTTTTAGTATAAATAGAAAACAGAAGTCCAAAAATGTATTTTTAGATGTAGGTATGTTTTATCAAATACAAGATGAATACTATAGCAATACATTTCAATATATTAATTTGTCTTTAAAGCCAAATAATACGTTTTATTTATTTCTTTGCTAAGGCAGCAGTGGCTCTCAGTGAGGCACATCTACCCCAGTTCAAAGATAGCATGGGTAAAGGTTATTAGAGGTTTAAAATAAATATAAGCAATAAGAAGTTTCCATCACCCTAAATAAAAGTGCCAGGAATGATTTAAGTATGAGGTTTACAGCTATTTCTTTCCAACTTCATTCCAAGCTTATGTCAGCTAGTAAAGGAATTCTTTATATGGGCACAGACTCTGGGTTCAGCATAGCTGGGATGTAATGGGAGTGCAGCTAATGCGTTCTGTGAAGCACTGCAGCAGACTGTTGGAGGTTAGCCAGTCAGAGGAAAGTGGACAGGATGGAAATAACCCATAAAGAGGCAGAAGCTAAAACATTTTTTTTCAACAAGGCAATCAGCTAAAAAAATTTTAAACCAGGAAAATATACTACATTTTTTCATTTTTTTATTTAAGCCAGTATTTTTTTTTAAACCAGAGCACTAGATAAAAGCACTAAATTACGGTAAGTAAAATAGTTTAACTATGGCCTCTTAATGCTGAACCCCATACAGAACTTTTATTCCTTAACATGCAGTGCTTAAATGTTAAATGTCACACACTAATCCCTTGGGATCTGGAAATAAGTCATTTAAAAATATCTGTCTCTACAAAACACCCATTAACGCTTTGTGTTGCTGCTTTTCCTCTAACCTAATCTTGATGTATTTCAAAGATCAGACAACGCTATAAAATAGTAACTACACTTCTGCATATTAATCCACTAATGCGGAGGTCTTCAACAGGGGGGCCGCGACCCCTAGGGGTCCACAGAGGTACTGCATGGGGGTCGCGAAAGATTTAGTTGATTAGGATTTTCTTTTATATTCCCCCCTGCAACTGTTTCCACTAATTGCAATGTCTTTAAAACACACTGTAGTAAATAAATGGAGGCAGAAGATGTCTTTCAGTCAACAATGCACACATTCAGCGACACCCAGGAGCTCTTTCAAGCTGGGCACCGTTTCATTCACAACACCTGTCCCATCAACCAGGAATCAGAATCAGAAATAATCTAATAATCCCAGGGCGAAGTTACTGTTGTTACATGACTCCATCTGTAATAGAGTGACTATAGGACGAGTGCCATCAGTTTGGGGGTCCTTGGCCTAGAAAACTTTAAAGACCTCTGCACTAATAGGTTAAATAGCTCTTGTTAACAAGTCCGATGCTGTCCTCTATGCTCCTCTCACCTCTTCGCTGAGACCTCCGTCATGCTTCATGATGCAGTCGTACATGTCTCCCCCATCGCCCAGCTCCAGAATGAGGTAGAGCTTGGTGGCTGTGTCGATGACCTCGTAAAGGCGAACCACGTTGGGGTGCTGTACCATTTTCATGCATCTGACCTCTTGGAAAAGGTGACCCCGTGCTACCGGGTCCAGCTTAGTCTTATCTATCACCTTTACTGCAACCTGGAAGAGTGGCAAAAGTAGACGTCAACAAACCGAGAGCTTGTGTGCAGCAAATTGAAAGTATTTTGATGCTGTACTTTGTCACGTTGAAATGCAAACAGTTTTGGAGACAGAACCGCATCGGATGTTTACATTCCTCTACAAATGTCATGATTAGTTAAATCTAGAGGCTGATCTCTACTCAGTTTTGCTTATAAATGTTTCTTATTTGTTCTTTGCATCTTAGCGTCCAAGTATGAGGTTTAAAACATCTATAATATGCAGAAAATCTCCTTAAATGATTCTCTCTAGAATAAAACAAGGCATTTTCTTGAACAGATATAGACAGGGGTACCTTCTCTCCGGTGAAGACATGACGTGCCAGTTTGACCACTGCAAAGTGTCCGCGGCCCAGAGTCTTATCAAGATCGTACAGCCCAGCAATCTTCCCATCATGATGACGCTTAAGCCCTGACATGTCGAGGGCGGACTTATGGAAGGAACAGCCTTTTTTTGTGCCTTTTTTGCCTTCAGTTGTCAGTTCTCCATTTCCCTTAAGTTGTCCCGAGTTAGATGAAGTGGTTGTATGAGCTTCTGTTGTTCTGGTTTTAGCTGTAATGTCCTGGGGTAGTCTTACAGAGGCAAAGATAGAAAGAGATCTCCTTCCTGTTGTGGTAAATATAAAGGCTTCTTTCTTCTTGTGTTGCAACTGCTTAGTTTAACTCAGTGCCATGAAGTTGTAATCTGAGGAGGAGAAAATGAAATAGAAAAAATATTGAAACCACCTTCCACAAATGTAACAGCATGTCTGAACTATTGAGCAATCTGTTTTGAGTATGATCCCACAATTTCTAATAATATTAAGTAATTTTTCACTCAGTGTACAGGAGCTTGAAAATTGGAGATCATCATTCTTAAAATGCTAATGGAAAAAATATTAATTTCAAGCTCAAGTAATGGATACAAATGTGTTAGTAACCTTAACTAAACTCAGCTTATATGCAGATGACAATGTTTATATTGTCATATAAATATATACATATATACATATACATACACATATATACATACATACATACATATATACATACATATATACATATACATACACATATATACATACATATATACATACAGGCATATATACATATACATACACATATATACATACATACATACATATATACATACATATATGTATATATACATATACATACACATATATACATACATACAGGCATATATACATACATATATGTATATATACATATACATACACATATATATATACATATGTGTGTGTATATGTATATATATATAGAGATATATATCTCTCTCTATATATATATATATATATATAGATATATAAACCCTATATATAAGGATATAAGGTTTGTTTAAAGTTTTATTCAACAATTATACTGATAAACATTAGTGCATTAATACCTCAGGAAATTTTCCTTGCTAATGTTTGGTCCAATAAGTCGTCAATATAGTAGCCAATAAGTCATGTCACTGTGGTTGCACTGATCACAAGGCTCATTTAGATTAATTCAAAGACCAGACAATAGTTTTTCTTCACCAATTTTACAATGACTATGACTTTCTTTAATAATGAAGACAGACACGTGATGAAACAGGCCTTTGCTGCTGAAGGTAAAATCACTAAGAACACCACTATAACCAACAATCCCATAACCAACGAACTTTCTTTCTTTCTTTACAAAACACAATCAGTAATCTTGAGGGAAGAGGAAAACTAGTGGTCACACATTGGGAAAGAAAAAACTAAACTGTAAGCCTCAAGCTGCCATCTGGAAAGACAAATAATAATAATCATTTGTATTGACAAGATAACTTAATTCTCACAATCATAAGGAGATTTTTTTATTTTTATTTGAAGACTTCTGTTTTTCACTACTGCCTTGCAGCAAGAAAGGCTTAAATCCAGGCCTCTCTCAGCATGGAGTTTAAATGTTAAACATAAACATACACGGATTCTCTCAGGTTATTATGGCTTCCTGTCACCGTCCAAAAACAACACTGTCGTGGTAGCTGCTCACTCTGAGTTGTTTGCAGGTATGGCTGTTTATCTCTTTGCTGCCCTGTAATAAACCCTGCATCTCCTCCACCGATAGACATCAGCCTGCAGTAACCTCCCTCTTTTCCACATCCTCGGCATGTCCTTACATCTCTGACAAATCTAGACTAGTTACTGTCGTTGCCTTTTTTTTGTTTTGGGATTTGCTGGAACATCCTCTGTGGAAGAAACAAAACAGTTTCCACATCGCTTCATTCCGACAGTTTCCTCCACTCCATCATCTGATGAACAGCACTCTTCTCTACTTAGCCTTTTATGGCCATAGAACTGCTGTGTGTCAATCTAAAATACCTTCTCCTTATATAACCACATTGTTCATAATCTGAAATAATGAACATCTTAAGCATATTCATTAAATTCTTTTACTACTAGTACTAGGGGGAGTGGCTTTCTAGTGGGTAAGGCCGAGTTTTAAGCCCCACTCCCACAGACTGCCACTCTGGGTCCCTGAGCAAGACCCTTAACCCCACACTGCTCCCCGGGTGCCGAACAATGGCAGCCCACTGCTCCCCATAGTGAATCCAGGGAGTTAATTTCTCCTTTGTGAGATCAATAAAGTTCAATTTCTACATCTTTATAGAGAATTTTCTTGCTATTACTTTAACTTTCTGCCATTTTGTTAAAAAGAATGTTAAACATTTAATAGACATCCGCATTTCTTCGTTATTAGTCCTGTAATTAAAATAGCAATCACCTTTTATGTGTTAATTAAGTTATTTTAAGTTGCATCAGGGATGACTCAGCCCTGTGTCATTTTGCGTTGCAGCGTTACTCGCTTCTAACCTTTCACTGGGCTCATTCATGCTCACCAGTGATACGGCATGTACCTTCATCACGTTGGTTGTGAAACAAAAAGCCTGCCGGGCAGGGATGCCATTCTACTTTAAGGAATCCTCCTGCGTGTTAAGAACAACACTTGAAGCAACGAGGTAGCAGGAACATTCCTGGGAGGTGATCTTCTCCTAGGCGTGCCCCTTTTCAACGGATTAAATGAAGACAACATAAACCTAAATAAAGGTTGCCAAGGAACACACCTGTGGGTATAACTAATGCACTGTGTGTGTGGGTGGGCGGGGCGGATAGGAGGAAATAATAAAAACATTTCTGCCATCTGTGGTCGAACTGAAAGGAAACTATAAAAGCCTTTTAGCCTCAGCTGGAAAACTAACTGTGAGAAAAGAGTTTGTCACATTTCTGAGCTAACACCACGCAGACAAATAAAAGCAAAAAAATAAATAAAAAACCCTGAATGCTTTTCCTCTTCGACACTGACAACAAACGGGTGTTGATTTTTCCAGTAACCGAGGCAATGGAAGGACAAACACACCCAGAGCTGTGATGATAGGGCAGGCCAGGTGAGATCAATGCTGGCTGTGGTGCATCGCTCAGCGGCTGCAGAGTCAAACCTGACCATTATCTGTAAAGGCCTGATCCCCGTGCTAAATTCAGACTCCTTATTCACCTAAACAGGGAGTGTTTAATCACTTGATTGGTTTAAAGGAGCTGATTGACAAATCTGCAAACTGTGTAAGAGGTTAGATTCATTAATTATGCTCCCTCTACTAGTCTTTAGCGCCATGCCCTCGATTGGCACATCTATTTACAAGCCATGCATGCCTCCGATGCTGGTTGCATAACTCGTTTTAAGGTAGCTGGTGTTTTATTGATTTATGAAGTGAGCTGCGTGAGCCTGCATGCACAAAGACACACATACCCGCCCCGGGTCAAGGACCCGCTTTAATAGCTGCCCTGCTCCCACGGCATCTGACAAGTTCAAGATAAACGAGTGATAGGACTGTTGAAACCGAGTTCCTGGTTTTTGATTTGTAAGGCTTATTACCGGGATCTTTGACACAGATTCTGAGGCAACAGTCTGGATATGTTGCTTCAGTAAAGCTTTTTGCTAGAACCACTTTGTGCTTTTATTTTGGATGTTTACCAAAACAATTACATTTAAAATCATTTTTCTAGGAGTCAACAAATGAGATTTAATCCCTACATAGATCAAATAATATATGCCTTATTTGTAGTAAACATATAGAGCTACTGATAAGGGATATTTTATGATAAGAACAAGTTTAAAAAGGCAGTGGTAGATTTTAGTGGGGCATTAGGGCTCACCACCCAGGGCAACAAGACTTAGAAGTGGTAGGCGTTGGCGGGTTTTATTTAGTAAGTCAAAAGAAAAGCTATCAGTTTCAGTCCTTCAATTCTTTTTTTCTACAGCTTCCTTTCTTCTGTCCAGTCAGTATTAGAGAGGCTTAACATTTGAATCACCTTAGGATAATACGGCTACAGCCAAAAATGGACGTAGATGCTTTGTTGAGTTTCAGGATGGGAAAGAGTTTCAGGAAACATTTGATGCAAGACCTGCCATGGATCACAGATAAAATACTACCTGGTTTTCTCTAAAACTATATTCAAACTGGAGGGTAAATACTTTGTCACATAGATTTGTACAAATCTGCATTTCGTTGCCTTGTACCTGTACCTATGTAATGTAATGTAAAAAAGTTTAATCCAATCTAATGTAATCTAATCTACCATTTGATATTTTTCCCTGAAGTTCATCGAAGTTCATAAAAAGATGAGCATTTTAAAAATGATAAAGAATTATCCATTGTTTTTACAAGTTAGAATAGTTTTACCATAGGTAAATCCAACCAGCTGCTGCACACTGCCTATCAGCTGGCTCAAGAAGAACTTTTATACTTTTTATATATAAACAGTCCTGTAGCGGTAACAAGCAGCCACCAACTAACCCGCTAATATCACCTTGTTGTACACGTATGATCAAAATATTTGGATGACAGAATAGTATACACAAAATATGATAACTGCTACTAATTTTTTTGTTAAATTTTAAACTAAAAAAAACTGTTAATAGTATGTTTAATATCATTCTACCAGGAATCATTATGTTGAGCCATTTTGTTGCAGATTGAATAAATGCAGCTTTTGTATTTTGAACAAAAGCCATTAAATTAGATTCTGTTAAATGTTTGGTTTAAAAACAAAAGCTATAAATTGTATTTATCTGTTCACGTCACTGGAGATGTTATTATTGCTATGATATGATATGTGGTATAATATGATACACTGATAAACATATATTGATTTAGTGCTCAGTATAACACTCCTTTTCCCACAGTGGAGCCTTCAATAATAAGAGGTTTGATGCTCTAAATATAATTGCAAAGCATGCATTAATATATATATTTTTTAATATGAGCAGATAATGTGATATGTTAACATGCAGCATCATGTTTGTGATGAAGAAATGTGCAGGATTGATCATCTGAAAGCAATCCCTGCTGTCAACATGCCTGCTGGCTGCATCCTCAGCGCAGCAGCAACCTGCGCCAAACGGCTGAAACATGATGCATTAAAGCGGCGCACAATCCAGATGACCCCTGCGGACACAAGTTTACACTAAACCCCCCAGGATCAGGCTGGCCGAGCTGTCCGACTCACCGCAGCAGCGTCAGGCGTCCTTTCTGCTCCGTGTTCAGGCTGCGGCGCTGCGCTGCGCTGCGCTCCGGACGCCTTTAGAAACGAGGCTGATCTCTTTCACCGCTCGGTCCAAACGCGCTGCTGTCGCTCACTGACAGCCACCAGGCTGCAGATCCTTCCCAAAGGTCCCCCTCTTAGTTAATCTGTCACGCTGTCAACTCAAGTCCTCTGTTTCCTTTTCGCTCTGGCGCTATTAGCTGCGCCAAGTAAACACAGGTAGCAGGATGATGCGGAGCTCTGCGCCTTCACAATAAAAGCATCCTCCAATCTGTTTCATTATTTATCAGCAGACTATTTGATTTTACTGGATATTGGCTGTTAGAAATAAAAAAAATAAGGAGGCTGTATGATCTCAGATCATATATCCTTAACTTCTATTGCCCTCCTAACATTCTTCTATGAAAGAAAACCAAGAAAGACCTTTTAAAAACTAAAACTTCATCTTAAAATTGAATTAAAGAGTTATACCAGAATTGTCTGTTTTTGTATTATAACATAAATGGTGAATTGCCTGTACTTATATAGCACTTTTTCAAGTCAGGAGCCACTGCTTTACACTACATGCAGTCAGGGGCGGAGCTAGATGGGGGGCCAGGGGTGGAATGGCATAATGACAACACAATACTGGTTATACTTCTGCAGCAGTGTGTCGCAGTGAGCTTGATGCAGACATTTTTGATTTATGTTCAGCGTTGAAGCGTGGTCTGCGCTGTACACTGTGGGTCTAGATTCGGCCGAGGCAGTGAGGAAGTGGGGGCGAATTTGTCCGACAACGGAGGGACATGATGGCGAAAAATAACGCGGACCCAGGTGGAAAAAGGGTCCCAGCGTTCTTCCACACCTCGCTCTTCTAGCTTGTCCATCTTCATGAGTTTTTTTTTTGGCAATTTCGGTCATAAAAACAAAACAAGCCGGCCTCCTGTCTGCGGCACTGTCTGCGGTCACCAGGAGAGGTGCAGCAGAGTGTCTGCAGAGGGGGGTGGAACGTCTTTTTGTTTACCGCGGCACCTACACAGACAACCTAGTTTTGAAGTACAAATCAGCCTTAAGCAACGTTATCAGGGTGGGCCCCATATGAAGTATAACACCCCTATGGTTTTAATGTGCGCTCTGGATTACCCATAATTCCACATCGTATTGTAAAAATAAAATACTCAAATACATTGTTCTTTTAAGATCTTTATTGCGGTTTGAAACATATATGAGTGTATTTTTTACCAACCGTCTAATGAACTATACACAGTTATTAACATAGTAATTAAAAGTACCACTGTCTGCTTTGCTATTGGTGTCGTGTTCAAATGGCTCACCATCATGTTGAAATCTGGCAGGTGAAGTGTCTTGTCCAAGGACACAACAACACTGACCGGAGCTCAAACCGACAACCCTCCGATTGCAGGGCAAACTCCTGTGTCTAATGCGACTGTCACTTCTAACATATCGTCCATATAGGTAGTAAGTAGGGCTCCCAACTGTCCCTTAAAAAATTAATAGTTCCCATATTAAAAAGAAAATTAAGTGTCTTATTTTATTCAGGTTTGATTTAAATATTTACTAAATCAATTCGCACTCGTAATAAAAGGCAAAAATAAATTCATGATGTTGGTAGGGTGGAAGGCCAGAGTGCCTGGTTAAGAAATGTCCCTTATTTAATTTTCACAACGTTATTAGCAATAGTTGCAAGGTCACAGGGTCCCAAATAGATTTCCTAAAACATCAGCCTGTTTTTACCCAGTTGGCATTTGATCGCAATGTTAAAGACTCACACAAGCCAGACTTCAACATGTAAGAGACAACATGACCCCCTAGACCAGATTATTTTATCACACCATGGTCCAGTTCTGATTCAAACACAGACATTACTTTGAATTGATCACTGATGACAACGTATTATGTGTTAAAAACTGTAAGATCTGGAGATCCTTTAAATCAGTCACATAATTGAGCATCTCTACCAAACTCAACAAAATCCTTAATTTAATTAATCTAGTCTTATCCAGACTATGGTCACAATTCCCACTTCGCAATAAAGATAAATAAAATGAATTGATAAATAAATCTGTTTTTATAAATGGGACTTTAACTTCATGAACCTCAAATTTTGATGTAAATAATTGCTGTTCAGTCTAGCTTATAGACCATGTTTAGTGTTTTAGAGCTTAAACATAGTATTCCTTAAACAATCAGAAAAGAACAAAAAAAAAAGTGAAATTATTGTATGAGTTTGGACTGAATGGAAGGAAGTAAATTATAGATAAACTGTATTCATTATCCAGTCATTAACCAGTCATGCAGAGATTTGATGTCCTATATTATCCTACATTATTCACTGATGTGTGTTTTATTTCTAGTGTCTGATTATTTGGTGTTTTCTTGCTTTTTATTTATTTATTATTGACTTGCAAAGGACAACAGATGTGAAGTTGCCTTCAGGCTAATTCTGGCAACTTACAATTAAGAGTTCATGAATATGCACTTTTTCCTTTTAAATAAATTAAAATAAATTAGTAAATAAATTCATAAATATACACGATAAAACGTGGAGATTCTCATGAATACAGAATACAATTTATTTAGGATCAATCAGAAAAAAAAAAAAAACTTTTCCAAGTGCTTTTGGGAAAAACCATGGATATTCCACCCTGAGCAGAGAGCCATATCACCCAGAGCAGTTAGGATTACACTTCCTTCTCCTTTACATGTCATTTAAAAAGGATGGACACAAAAAATTATATACATTTATATTTTACTGGAAACATATAATAATAATAATGTGTTTCATTTGACATGTCTAGGAATTAAATGATGAAGAAAAGATTAATTATTCCAATTGGAATATTTTGATCTGGAGAATGCAAGATTTTGTAGGTAAAAAAGAAAAGAAAAGAAAAGAAAAGCTGAAAGCTCTTCCTCCAGCTTATCTTTGTTTTATCCGATTATGGATTCTGTGCTTTTATTTTGAAAGACTGTCAGCGTTTCCGTTTTGGTTCCTATGAATGACAGCTCCGTAAGCTCTGACGTCAGAGCTACACACTGAAAACAGCGCGTCTATCAGATCCCAGGTTTAAGCCTGTCCTTTATCTCTTCGTGTGTAACTAGCCAGCATGCTGAAGGTGACATGTGAACTTTAATCGGTCAGCTGCTTCGCTAACATCCAGCCTCTGTAATCAACCCGTCCTCTGATGCTCTGGCGCGCGCTACTGGTGACAGAGGGCGCGTGTTGGCATCGCTCTTTGTTCCTGTTCTCTTCACTCAACCAGCTGGGCAGTGTTCAAGTGTGCAGTTATGCAATATTTACCAGCTCCGCCTGAGATCTGAGCAGCAACCTGTTTGGCTGCTTGTAATATCGGCCTGTTTCAGCCAGGATGCGGCCGCTGCAGGGGCTATAAAAAGACACTGAGGTGTTCTCCTGCCCTCAGCAGCTTCTAATGGTGATGAGAAAACACAGAGAAGCAACTGTACGGTCTCCAAACACAGCATGTTGCTCCCTTAATGATTTAATTTCAAGAATGCTTTGTTTGCTTATTGTTGCTGAATATTTATTGACCAATACTGCCATCTAGTGGACAACTGACAAAGTGGCGCAGCGTGAAATATTCTTTCTGATTCTCAGACAGAATCACAAAATCTAAACCAGAGTTGGGTGGGTATGTACTTTATTACATTTACTTGGATAAGTTTTTGAACAAAATGTACTTTTGTGAGTAGTTTTACTGCACTTTACTTTTACTTGAGTAA